GGTGCAGTGTTTCAGTTGGATAGGGGGAATATGTTCTAGTGTTCCAGGCACAGCAAGTGACTATACCGACGGTCTTACATTGCATATCTCAAAATAGAGCAGGGGACTTTGGGTGCACTCCTTGTGGAGAAATGATAGAGTTTATGGTGATATATATGTTAATTACTTTGAATTGATCATTTCTCTGTATATCTGTGAATTAACACTTTATCTTAGCCGAAAGTCTGAGAGGCAATGTATACACGAAAAGAGACATCACATGGTACTTCATAAATATGCAAAGATATGTCCGTTTTAAAAAAAAGACAATAGCTTGCATAAAGCCTGTGCTCTTGGGGCACACTGTGACCCGGAGGCAGGAATCATCCACACAAGCCCTGTGGGTTCTGAGTCAGGCTCGGGTGCTGAGCAAGTTCCTCAGCCCATGGTGCCTGTAGTTCTGTTTTCTGTCTGACGGGGCTACCCAGGATTCCTGCATGGCTTTAACAATCCTGTGAACATCAAGTGCCCTCAAAGCAGGGGTTTTCTGTACCTCTACTAATGCATCTGGTAAGGGATGGGGCACAGAGGATGGATAGAAAAGAAGCCTGGATTGGCAGGAGGGTCCAAGGAGGCAGAGTGTGCATCACCAGGTAAGAGATGACGCAAGCAAGGAACTCCCAGGAGCACTTGCTGTTGCTGTTGGAGACCGGCAGGTGTGCAGCTCTGGGTGTGAGGATAGACTCTGGGTTCACATCTGTTGAGCATTAGCACTAGGGCGAGGTGGGTGTGGCTGAGCAGTAACCAGCTTCAGACAGGAGCAAGTCTGGGCTCATGGATCCTGCACCCAGGAGCCAGTAGCTCATTAAAGAGGAGAGCAACGAACAATTATGCACAGACTTCTGAAGGGCATGACCATGAGGAGTGGGGGCAGAAATGAGAGTTCTCTCCCTGGGGCCCTGGCATGCCAGGAGGGCGGAAGGCATGAAAGGAGACGGAAAGAGCTCCCAGGGGTCACTTGGTAAGGTCAGGACAGTGCTGCGAAATCAACCAGGGTGGCCAGGAAGGGAAAGAGGCCTGACCGTTGGCTTGATGGGACCTGAACTGGGGAGCCTTGGTGAGCTCTGGATGGAGGGAGGGGCAGGCTTCCAGGAGGACCAAGGTAGCAGTAGTTTGGGGTTTGGAGTGGAGGAAGGAACACCAAGGTGTGACTGTATCTGATGTCTGGTCCTAATCCTGACTCTGAGCTTTATCCAGGATGGTGCTGTCACCTATAAGTACAATGCCAGGCATCTCTGCACTTAAATTTTCCCCTGGTAGCCTCTAATAAATAACAAAAGAAATTAACTTAGAAAATTATTTAGCCCAATGTAGCAAAGATATTTCCATGTTTAATATGAAAATGAGACGTATTTCACATCTGTCTTTGAGACCGGCTGCATGTCACAAGCTCGCCTCAGTTCAGGTGAATGATGCTTCCTAGTTCTGGGTGGTCCCTGGGTGGTCCCTAGGTTAGACAATGTGGCTTATACCCACAGAGATTGTCTCGAGCTGACCTTGGTAGCTCTCCCCATGTCCAGTTCTCTGTCTACCTGTCTGCCTCTGCAAGGTGGACTTGGACAGAAGACCGTGTCTTCACTGGACACTGCAACGGGTTGAGGGTCCAACCTAGCCTTTCTTCCCATGGCTTTGCTGAGTTTGTGACTGGTTACTGCTGTTAGGATTAGAGCTGGATGGTAACCCAGGACTTCTCGGAGCTAGATATCCTAGTGGAGAAAGATTTTTAAAAACAAAACCAAACCCCAGAACCCATGCAGTTCTCTCTACTTTGAAGGACTTCTGTTTTCCAGAAGTGGGTGCCTGTGGAGTGACCCCCATCATGGCTGCTTAGGTTGTGTTAATTTGTAAGGGTGGTGTTAGCTATGTCATTTGAAAACTAGATTTCGAGCTACAGCTGCAGGCCAGGGAGACTGAATTTAAAACCCAGCCTCTGGTTGTCCCAGGCAGCAGGTACCATGTCTGTAGTCTAGATCCACTTGGTTTGGGAGAAAAGGAGTTTGTGTCTAGAGATGGTTGGGTGTTCTTGGAGACTGGTGGCCTACAGGGTTAGGGAGTAAAACTGCATGGTTCTGGGTTTGAGTTTCAGCTCTGTGAGCATGGGGACATCAGGTTTCCACTAATTAACCTCTTGATTTTCTTGTCTGTGATGTGGGAACATGAACATTAGAGTTGGAGGGGTTCGTTAGGGTACAGTAGGAGAGAATGTGTGAGGCTCCCGACTTGTAACTGAGGACTCAACCACCAGGAATAACATGGGGTGTGGTTGCTGATGACACCATTGCCATTGGTGTTCAAAGGGCAAGCCTGGGCCGAGTGTGTGGTGTAGGGCAGGACAGGCACTGGGGAAGAAGTTGCCATGGGAAGTGAGGCAGCATGGGTGCGGCAGTGGGGGGAGTGAAGCCTCCTTACCAGAGGTCTGAAAGGTTGAATCAAAGACCTCTCAAAGACAAGGCAAGGAGGAGCAGACTGGCTCCTTGCCCTAGGCTGCAGTTTCAGCACCCAGGCCATACACAGGCTGCCATTGAGTACCATGCTCTTGGCCATAGGTGATTAACTCCACTGTCCAGAGTTATTTTCCAAGCCACCTTTCTGATATGTCTAGGATGTATCTGTAGAAAAGAGAAATGATGGGCTCAGAGGAAGTTGTACATTTTAGTACACATTGGCTCTTAGAACTAGACTATCTAAAATGGCAGTTTCAGGTTAAGTGAGAGACTTTTGTCTCTAAAAATGATGATGAAGAGCACCAAAAGACACTCCATAACAACTTCTGGCATCCATATGTGCACACATGAGTGCATGAACCCACACACAGAAGCATGCGCACACACACACCATACACACAAATAAAAAATTAAAAAAATTTTAATTAAAAAAATTAATGTTCATAAATGAGTGAGTCAAAGCCCCAAGGAAGACCCCAAAGGCCAGTGTGTGGAATTCTCATAAGCCCTGCCTTACCAGGATAGCCCTGAGGTTTCTACTAGGAAAGGAACTATGAAGAGTCCTGTGCTGTGGGATGGTCTGTATGTCAAATGTGTTGCTCTGATTGGTCAATAAATAAAACACTGATTGGCCAGTAGCCAGGCAGGAAGTATAGGCGGGACTAACAGAGAGGAGAATTGAGAGAACAGGAAGGCGGAGGGAGACACTGCCAGCTGCCGCCATGACAAGAAGCATGTGAAGATGCTGGTAAGCCACGAGCCACGTGGCAAGGTATAGATTTTTAGAAATGGATTAATTTAAGATGTAAGAACTAGATAGCTAGAAGCCTGAGCCATTAGACTAAACAGTTTAAATAATATAAGCATCTCTGTGTTTATTTTATAAGTGGGTTGTTGGACTGCTGGGATTTGGCGGGTCCCGGAGAGAAAACTCTCCAGCTACAGTCCTGGGATCTGTCTGTCTCCTTTTCCCCATGGCTGGGGTTACAGAAGCTGATTATTACTCTTGCCTTTTATGTGAGTACCAGGGATCTGAACTCAGTTCCTCATGATTTTACAGCAAACACATTACCTGCTGAAACATCTCCCCAGCCCCTATGAACACTCACCAATTGTGACTTGATTTGCATTTTCTTAATGTTTAGCAACTTAATGGTACTTTTGATCTTGGAGATGCTCTAAGTCTTGGGAGTGGGGCTCTCTGAGGTCCAAGGCCTATACTTTCAGAAGTGCTTGTTTCAAAGGAAATGTGCATGTGTTACTGGTGGTTGGGATCTGGGTTGGGTGTTTCCAGGTTGTTGGCCTCTTAGCCAAAGAATTGTAAACAAGGGTTCACACAGATCTGCAAAAGAAGATAAATTTGTGTGGAGCAAAGGGATAGTGCAGATTAAAGATAGGTACAGCTGTCAAGATTGACAGTGGGACACATGAGTGAAGACACTCAAAGGCCCCAGGATACATCCTGGGGTCTCCTTCTATGGAATCTAAGGGACAAAGGGTCTAGTGTCTAAGGAAGCGTTGTTTGTATGGTTCTCTATTTTGATTTGGATCAGTTTAGGCTGTATCATTATTTTTATGGTGCATGTCCCTTCCCATGAGGCATCTGATTTTCATCATATGCACTCTCAGTTATACATAGGCACAGGATGGTAAATAGAGGACTCTCCCTAAAAGGTTACTAGAGGACACAATTTTGACTTACTGCACATACACTCAAAACTAGTTCAGGCCAGATTGGCCTTCTATTCTTTATACTTAGATACATTGGAATACATCCGAGTAGAAACTGTCTAAATATGATTGTTATCAGGGGCAGGGAAACTCATATCATTGTTCAAAGATGGGAGGTTGAGGGGGTTTTGAGGTTCATTAGCACATTGTTCAGAGCAGGGTGTACAGGGAAAGAAGCAATGCTTTTAAGAACATTATTACAAACGTGTGTGTGTGTGTGTGTGTGTATGGCTCAGATCTGAATGGTCTAAGATAAACTATTTACTGTGCTTGCCTGCCTCTCATGGCAATATGGGAACCTAAAACAGCAGTCTGACCCAGGCTTGAAGACAGGAGACTAAATATCAAAAGAGGGCATAAGAACCCCTTAGACAGGATGAAAACAGAGATAAAGGCCCTGTGGTAAGGGAGGACCTAGCACCCTAGAGTAGCTGAGAGAAGACTCCAGATACCAGATTTGGAAAGCCAAGTCAACAGATGAGCTAAGCTGAATCTTTTTTGTTGTCGTTTATTTATGTGTTCAGAATTGAACCCAAGGCCTTGTACATGCTAAGCAGGTGCTACGCTGCTCATTTATATCCTGATCTTTAAGCTTGGTTTCAGAGGTTAGTACAGGAGCTCCAGGCTCTTGCAAGACTCTGTGTGTACCAGGCTGGTGGGTAGCAGGTTTCAGAGGCCTGGAAAGGAGAAGCCTCTGTGGCCTTTGGTATCATCTAGTATGGCGAGTGTAGGCCAGACCCATAAGCCTGAGTGCTAATCCCAGTGTATCTTATTGTAAAGGATGTAGTCAGATCCTCAGCCAACACTCTGGATGTGGTGGGCAAGCTATGTCATCATCTTGGACCACCATGGAGAAGCTGGCCTGTTTTGTGTAAGAACAGAGAGATTCTGTCTGGTCTTGGATCCCACATCATGACTGTGCAGCACTGGGTAAGTTACTCTGCCCCTCTGTGTCTCTGCCCCTTCATTCCTACAAAAGCAGTAATGATACTACTGCATTGAGTTGCCATAAAGAGTATTTGTGTGTATATGGTATATGTGCATGTGTGTGCCTTACTCCCTTGAGACAGGGTCTCTCAGTGAACCCCAAACTCACTGTTTTTCAGCTAGTCTAGCAGCCGGTAAGTTCCAGTGATTTTCCTGACCCTACCTGACCCCCAAGCTCTGGGGCTATGGATGTCTGCAGTCATGCCTGGCATTTTGTGTGGATGCTGAACTGAGGCTCTCATACTTGCACATCAAATGCCATCTCCCCTGCCTGTAGCAAGTTCCATGTAAATTATAGGGCTTAATTATTCTGACCAAAGTCCTCCCCCATAAGAAGGATGTTCAGCCCCCTTCCTACCATGAGAAGGAGGGCATCTGTGATGCTGGGGTTCATCTGGCTCACAGTCCCATGCCTTCAGACTATCTCCTGTCCCTTTGTCATCTGTGTTCCTTCCCAAGTGGCCGGAAGTGAGGTACTCATGAGGTACTCATGGATGGGGAAGCTGGGGCTGTGAAGGTAGAGGAGTGGAAGAGAACAGAACTGATAGATTGCCCTTCGCTCTGGGTGGAAAACTGAAAGGGAGAAATAAACTAGAAAAACACAAGCCTAGCACTGGCTTTGAGAGATGCCATGCGAGTATATCGCTGCCCCCAAGTGAGAAGCGGCTCTGTTGTTTCTCCAGGTATAAGGCGCACTTGGGAGCCTGAGTGAAGAACATTGGGAAGGGGTCTGGAAGTTCTCTGCACTACAGCCTCCAGGAAGAGAAAAGCTATCGCATGGATGAAGCCCAAAGATACGCACTGATGCTTAGCCATTGCCAACTGAGGCTGGTCCTGCAGCATCAGAGGAAACAAGAGCCTTCACAGTGAGGAGTCCAGACCACCCTGACCCTGGCCACTTCTGAGCTGAGGAAAGTCAAGCCTGAGAAAGATCCTTCCTACCCAGAAAAACCCCTCCTTTCCAGACATGGCCTCCCAGGACCTCTGTGTTACTCCCTCTGTATGCAGGTGCAGAGAGGACAGCTGGGTGAGGAGGGGTTCAGACATCAGGAGCCAGACTAGACAGGTCTGCGTCCAGCTCTGTCAGGTAACAGCCGGGGGGCTTACTGTAATTTGGCCTTCAAAAAGTAGGCTGATAAGATCCTCCATCCAGGAGACTATAAAGAGGTTGACTGCCCCAGAGTTGGGGCTGCCACACAGTAGGTGCTTGTTAATTATACACTGAGTTGTGTTATTTGTGGATTGTTGGCTGTTCTCAAGGTGGGCACTTAGTCCTCTAGCATGTGGGACCTTCTCATCTTCACAACGGCCTGATGAGGGCCCTATGGCGATTGCTTCTCATGGAGAGGCAAGGGTTTCGTGTCTTTGGTTCTACACAGGACACTGAGAGATGGTTAACAACTGATTTTGCTTGGGAGTGGGGTAGGGTCCTTGAAGCACAAAAGATTAAAGAGGTGTACAAATTGGGTCATTTTTGTGCTCATGTATTCCAAGATGGAGCTTGCCAAGAAGATGGGGAGTCAGTGCCAGTGTTGCTTGGGAGGTGACCTTCCTACTAGTCTTCCAATGACCCCAAAGAGCCAGACCACTCATAGGAATGCATAGAGCCTTCACATCTCCCTAGTCTCTGGTCACTGGCAAGCTGAGCTTTCCTGCTGAAAGACTGGTTTCCATGGGCCTGAGGCTGCTTCAAGTTGGGGAAACAACATTTTTCATGAGCACAGCATAATGAGGTGTGGTGACCTCTTGTTATGAAAACTCATCTTTCCCCGAGGAACCCTGCCTATGCAATGGCTCCATGCCTGGAGACAGTAGGCACTGACTGACTCGTGTGACTTGAGATCATGGGACTAAAAGGATGCTAATAAAAAGTTGGTCGTAGGGCCAGATGATTGTGTGCCAGGCAGGGGTGGGTGGGTGATCAGGGACCACTGGTGCATTCTGCAGCTGCCAGCTGAAGAAGCCCTAGGCCTGTGGGCAGCAAGCAGTTTGGTTCATGAGGAGGACTATCGGGGTGAGTCCTCCTAAGTACATGGCCTCAGAATGTAGGCCAGTCAGCTTTCCTGTTGCTTCTCTGTGGACTTCCAGACCCTTAGATCCAATGCTCCTCTTTGTTATTTTTCCCTGGACATCTGAAAGACCAAGTCTTCTATCCCCTCTCCTGTGCAAACCAACTCCCCAATCCTTCCAGCTCAACAGAGGTACCAGTGGCCCCATTTAAACTAGAAATCCGGCCTCCACCCTTGACACTTCCTTATCATCGTATCCAGTCCAGCACTACGTCTTATGAGCTTCACTTCCTGAACCCAACTTGTATCTATTCCCTGTTTATATTTTATACCACCACTCTTTCTGGAACATCCCCCACGTTCCCAGCCAGCTCCAGCCTGGGAATAGTCTGGACCACCTCCATTTTATTACAGGACCACTGGACTAGGCAGCTGTCCCTTACTAGTAAGCGCTGCCTTACCTCAATAGGACCTATTATCAACCACTTCGCTCACTGGTTGGGTCTTGCTTGACACTCATCCCCTTTACTTTCCCTCCGTCCCAAGCATGAGCTGGGTTTCTGGCTTTCTCTTTAGAGTTCTAGTCCTTGGTGTTACTACTGACTCTGTTTTCCCTAATGGCTCCCTTGTCCTTCTGTGGGTCTCAGTTCAACTTACATATTTCAGGAAATACCTTCCTTGACTCTCTCATCATTGGAACTTTCTCATCTTGTCATCACAATCATGTGCTCCATAGTGTCAGCTACTCTCTCACTGTCGTGTTCACATATTTTGTCAGGTGCCTGTTAGAATAGCAAAGCTTTTCAGTGTTTCCAGAAAGAATCCGGCCTCTATCGCCCTGCTCACCTTTGATACCTCACTGTAGAAGAAGACACGTTCAAAACACTGTGTACATGAGTGGACAGGTCTATGTTCCAGTAAAACTTTATTTGTAAACACTGAGATAGAAAATTTCATGTATCACAAACACCATCTGACTTAAAATGTCCTTAAATTGTAGGAATCACTTGTTGCTCTCAGGCTCAGATATACATTTCATATATATATATATATATATATATATATATATATATATATATATATATATATATATATACCAATTTGCCTAGAAGATAAGCCCCATGGGACCCACAGTTCATCCGTGTATCCCAATTGTATGGGAGTTCCTGGTAGAGAGAGAAAAGCCCTTTGTATACCTGAGGGCGGAAGGAAAGGAGAGCAGCTATATACATGGTGCTAGCTGACCATCTCTCAAACATGGGCCATCTTGTTTTGGAGAACCAGGAAAAGTACAGGAACAAGAAACAAAGGGAAGACGCTGGCAGTGAGAGGTCGTCCAAAGACTGGTCAAGAAGAGTCCCTAGATTTCAAGGTAGCAAGTCTACCTCTAGCCAAACAACCTTCTTTGTCCTTTATTTTCTAGGCCCAGAGACTTTTAAGCAAAGGCCTAGCCACAGCTCCCATGAGTCTTCTCCAACCATGGGAAGGTCATAGATGTTTTGTGCCAGCTCAGGGAGCTGCCAGCTGAATACATTGACATTTAATTGGAATTTGCCAATACATTGACATTTAAGTGGAAAATTATACCTGCTCTTTAAAAATTAAAATCAACCTTCAATTCCTACCCTGCAATTATAACATCCAGTTTAACCCAGAATGCTTCTTACCATGACCCTCAGTAAATATCGCTCTGCTTCACTGATAGCATTTGTCCCTCTGCAAGAACTTTGGGACAAAATGCTTTTCTTAATAATACTCTCAGAGAGAAAACATTTAGCTCTTTGCTTCATAACTTATGACTGAGCCTGTTTATTGTCTTGTGGTCATTCCATTGGTGGTCATGGTCATTGGATTCTGTGGACCACCAAGTGAGAGCCCTTTTGGGTTGTCTCTCTGGACATCAGTGGAACCACTTTGAGTTAAGAAGAAAATCAAGCAACCCATTGAATTCAAGGAAAAATGTAACTAGAACCCATGTTCCATCTCATTTCAGAACCCATAATGAGTCAGACTTGAAAAAACAAAGATTGATGAACATTTAAAAGATATAATTTGGAGGCTGCAATACCTCCAGACATAGAACTGAGACAGAAATACAAAGACAAAGCTGATTTATAATAATTAAAATAAAATTTCAGGTCAGACCTCCATCCACAATTGGAAATCATAAAAAAATGGTAACGATGCAGAATTATTTCCTGGTAAAGCACAGAATATGTAGAATATTCTAATTACCAAGGGCAAGGAATCACAACTGAAAACCATGTAGAGGATCTGTGGTGTGTGTGCCTATGTGTGTGCACGCATACATGACTATGTATATATGTATGGATGCTAGTAGATCTAGGTAGATTCCTCAAGAAATAAATGCCTTTAATTAACAAATACTTGGAAAAGTATCCAGTCCTATTAGTAATAAAATAACCCACAAGCGAAGCACCCTAAGACAACCATGTTCTGTCAAATTGGCAAAGATAAAAGTCCAATGATAGTAAAGTGTGTGGTCAGATGTGATAAGGACAGTGAAGCTCTGTAGATCTAGAGCGGTGGTTCTCAACCCGTGGGTTGCAAACCCTTTGGGGATTGAATATCAGATGTCCTGCATGTCAGATATTTACATTATGATTCTTAACAGTAGCAAAATTACAGCTATGAAGTAGCCACAAAAATAATTTTATGGTTGGGGCTCAGCACACAGGAGGAACTGTGTTAAAGAGTCTCAGCATTAGGAAGGTTGCGAACCACTGACCTAGAGTGGTTCTGTTTGGGAGCTTGAGATTGTTACTGTGTTTAAAGTTTCTCAGTTGTCCTGTTCGGCTGAGGACCCTGACTGACTGAGTCATGACTCACCTGCTTGGTTGAATGACGAGATGAATGAGTGAAGGAATGTGCTGAGCTAGAGGGAACATGGTCAGCCTGTTCTAGAAGCAGGTTCACAGGAGACACTTTCCACATTTATCTGGAGTACGTTACTTACCAAGAATCCAGGGGGACAAACCTCTAGTTTAATGAATTATCCGCCACCTGGTTGACAAAATTGACATTGATAATCAAAGTGAAGCCTCAAAGGGGGGACGCTGTGTGGTATGTTCAGTGTTTGAATTCCCTGGGGCACCTGGAACATAACAACACTGGCTTCCGTGTCATGCTTGGGTGGAGGCACACTAAACATTTTCTATGTTAAATAACTAAATATATTCTTGATCACCAATTATGAGATTTTAAGACCTTAGTAGATTAATTATAAATATGAAATCAATTGCAAGTGCTTTTCTCTGAGTCTTCTCTGCAGTCAGAATTCAATAAATAAATAAATTAATTAAAGAAACCATATTATGTCCATTTGCAGAACAAATACAGTCTTCCACTTGAGCAGACACTGTGCTTCGATCAGCTGGACTTGAGGCCTAGAGTTAGCACTCCTGTCCAGTCTCTTGGAGAGTGACATTCTTGCTTGAAGCAATCTAATTAAACTCCCTGTTAACTTGATGTGGCCCCCAGTGGACAGATCAAAACTATTTTTAGGTTGCAAGTGCTCCGAGAAGAAATATTTAATTAGAATGGGGGTGTTTAAAATAGCTTTCTCTCTTAATGTCAGTACCTGCTGGCTTGTTTTCCCGAGGCCATTAATCACCACTGAAGGGACATCAGGAGTCACAGCTGAAATCCGCCTTCTGTGGGCCGTGTGTCTCGTGACTCAAAGGCCAATTCTATCTGGATTTGGGCATTTTCCTTCAAGTGAATGGCATTGAGAGTTTTCAATAATTTAATTTAGACCATTTCTTCAGAAAAGCACCCCACACAGGGTATTTCTCCCACTGTGTTCTGTGTGTTGTAGGGTCACATTCAATCTGAGGAGGTAGAGAACATTCCGTGGACCCCAGGCCGTGAAGGACTTGCACCGCTAAGACCTACATGAAGACCGAGCTAAGCAGATAAGTGGCAGTAGAGAAAGAGTGGGAACTCAAGCTTGAAGGACTGGGACGGAGCTCAGTGACGGAGCACTTACTTAGTGTTTGCAAGACCCTGAGTTTTCTCCTAATGTCAAAGCCCCCAAACAACAATGAACTCAAGCTTGGCTAGCTTGACAACCTAGTGTGCAATAACCCATTCTAATTTTTTTTTTTTGGCAGGGGCAGGGGAATCAAAAAATTGAAATTATTTTTTAAATTTATTTATTTTTATTTTATGTACATTGGTGTTTTGCCATGGGTATCGAGTTCCCTGGAACTGGAATCACAGACAGTTGTGAGCTGCCATGTGGGTTCTGGGAACCGAACCCCGGTCCTTTGGAAGAGCAGTCAGTGCTCCCAACCACTGAGCCACGTCTCTAGCCCCTGAAATTATTTTTAAAGTCAGACATTTTGATTTATTTTGCTTTCTTTATGAAATTATTGTCAAAAGGGACAGGAATTAAACTTTATTCTAAAAATGACCTACTGAGTGCTTAAGAAATGCTGAGCATTATTTTAACTGTACTGTGTGCTTTGTACCCAGGCACTATATTGAAGCTCTTTGAGATGGGTTCGATTATTAAGTCCATTTTGCAGATAATGAAACTGAGGCACAGAAAGGTTGTAGAACTTTCCCAAAGCTTCTCCCTCCTGGGAAGTTATCCTTCCCACAGATTATTGTCCATCCCCCAAACTCATTGTTTGTGATAGATAAGGACACTTTTATACCATTTGGGGGGAGTACAAATGAACTCTCTGCTCCTTTAGTGCAGCACCTTAAATTGTCTCCTGTTTGTGTTGTGTATGTGCCTATGTACATGTGTATGTGTATGTGTAGTGTCCACACGTGTGGAAGCCTGAGGCTGATCTCACAACTCTTCCTTGCTTCCTACTGAACTCATTGCAGTAGCCACTCATACTGTACATACTGTACCCTTGCTTCCTCTCTCTCCCCCTCCTTTTTTCTCTCCTGCCCTCCCTCTCTTATAAAAAGCTACAACAAATTTCCTTTGTTTGATAGAGCTAGGTTCATAGCTATATAGCCAATAAAAGCATCCTTCCACACCCTCCCACCCAGTACACAGCAAAGCACATACACACACACACACACACACACACACACACACACACACACACACACACACACGGGAGCACGTGCATATACTCCTGCACATGAAGCTGGCTCTGGATCCATCTCCATTTCTTGTTGTCCTGGGTAGCACTAGTAATACCGTGGTTCACCTTGGAAGCAAGGCCTAGCAAGCTGAGGGACTCAGAGACTGAGCAAGACGTGCCTTACAGGAAGTGCGTTACCGGAAGTAACTTATATCAAGTTCACCTACCTGCTGTAGAACTCTCTGGGTGTCGAGCCATGCTAAGAGGTTTCTGTTTGTGAACATTTCCCTCTGAAGGCAGATCTCTTAATTGACCCCGAGATCATCAATATGGGAGCACCTGACATTCAGATGGGTGCTGAGGATCTGGACTCCAGTCCTCAAGCAGTTCAGCACTGAACCATTTCCCCAGCTCCAGTGGTTTTACTGTTGAGGATGGACCCTTGGGAAATAATCTAAGCTCTGTACAGAAAAACAGTAACTAGAGATCTTTTTCTACTCCACTTCAGAACCTCAGTGGGTCCTGACACAGAGTGGACCCCACGGTGAAGAAATATTGAATAGATTACAAATCAGAAATAACATCTCTTGTACATGAACCTTCAATGTCCAGAAGATGAAATCATTTTACATGCTCTGATGTATGCTCTATAAGCATAAACTGTGCCTGTGGAAGACTTGCCACTGAGAATAGCTTTTAGAAATTTAGTAGGTGAAACCTAAAAACATGAAAAATTTCCATGTTTTCAAAACATGGAAAAATGGTTCAGAGGTTCAGAGCAGGTGCTGCTCTTTCAAAGAATGGAAGTTGGATTCCCATCACTCACGTTAGACAGCTCACAACTGTAACTCCAGTTCCAGGGAATCCAGTGCCCTTTTCTGGCTCACCACAGTCACCAGCACATGTGTATATATTCACCCCTCCCACATTAATAAATAATAACAGTTTACAAAGTGGACACTATTTTCGTGATCCTTCCAATGTAATTACTAAAACCCCTATTAGTAAAGTAGTGTATTTATGGTTTTAAGTCATCTGACAGAATTTATTTCAAAATAGAGGTGGTAGTGACCTGCTCTTGGAAAGTTGTGGGTGATTCCAATTGTGTACCCTAGGCCATTGCAAACCTTTACTGAAGCGAACATAAAATAAATGTGAAGACTGTTGAGATCAGAGGAATGACTATTTAAAGTTGTGTTTTCCGCAGCAAGGAGGAAACCAAAGTGAGGACTTAAAGCTGGGTAAAACTCCGAAAAGTTAGGAGGAGTTGTGCTTAACCAGTTTGGTTAGATGCTGTGTGGCTTTCACTTCTTGAAGTCATGGGGCTTCCAGATCACCGATAGTGAAAATGTTATTTAAAGAGAACATTTACTTTTCCAAAGGAGAGCAGGAGTTTAGGTTGGAAAGTTTTCTGGTTTTGTGTTTTCAGACGGAGTCTGCGTGCATAGCCCAGGCTCACCTGGACCTCACGGGCCTGTTGCCTTCTGCTCTCCAAGTGCGAGGATTGTAGACGAAGGCTGCCATATCTGGAGGCATTAAGACTGACTGGCATCTCTGCTGCAGGTCAGCGGCTTCATCTGGGTCCTTGGCCACTTTGCTTCTCTCCTGCCTATGGTCCTGGACAGCTTGCTGACCAGACAGTGCCCGTGTGGCACATGACAGGCTTCTGGACGTTTCTCTACTAACTAAACATCTGTGAAGCAAGTTGTTCATTTGGTATTCTTTTTTTTTTTTTTTTTTTTTTTTTTTTTGGTTTTTCGAGACAGGGTTTCTCTGTGTAGCTTTGCGCCTTTCCTGGAACTCACTTGGTAGCCCAGGCTGGCCTCGAACTCACAGAGATCCACCTGGCTCTGCCTCCCGAGTGCTGGGATTAAAGGCGTGCGCCACCACCGCCCGGCTCATTTGGTATTCTTAAAGACCTTGTTTTGGTGTGGTAAGGTGGGATTGTCCCTCCCCCCCCCCCCCCCCCCCCCCCGGTTCCCATCACCTCTAATAACCTCTTGTCTCCAGGCACCGGCTCCTCACCCTAGGGCTGCATTCCAAGTCCATCCTACCAACACAGCTGTTTTTATCTTGTGGGATTCATTTGACAAGTAGTGAGGCCGTCCTTCCCAGCTCCCACCCTTCCTTGGCTATTCACATGCCATCAGTCATTACACCACTACTGCCTCCCCAGGAAGGGCCATCAGAGCTGTCTGGGAGCTCACCTGCATCCCTGGAATAGCCCAAGACAGCACTATGGAAGGAGAGGAAAGCCTGCCGCTTGTCACCAAGGGGACAGTCGTTATTCCCCAAGAGGTGCTGTCAGAAAAGCCCAGAGCGCTCAAAGACGTTTCCTCTAGGTTTGTTTTTAAAATCTGCTGTCTCCTTCTCCTGTTTCTTCTTCTTTCATTATTATTATTATTATTATTATTATTATTATTATTATTATTATTATTTTATTCTGCCCTAGGCGAAACCAGATATAGGTATAGAATTCACTGGTTTCTTTGATTTACACACACGCACGCGCATGCACATGCACATGCACATGCACAATTCTAGGTCCTCTGGAGATGACAACATAATCCCCCTTCTAAGACTGTCCTTAGTTTCCATCCCAGCCTCCTCCTTTACAAAGCGCTAGGTGTGTCTGTCTACCAACTCTCCAGTGGAAGGAGTTGGGGTCAGTGATCAAGGGTCACAAGACCCACATGGTTTCAGGAAATCCATGCTGTGAGTCACTTGCAGGAGAGGACAGCCTCAGGGTAACCCATGCCCCTGAGAACTGGACAAACCAAGACTCTCCGGGTGTATACCAGGCAACAGGGCAGGCAGCTTAGGAACAGCAGGGGAAAGAGGGGCAGGGCTGCTCTTCGATGCAAAGTCGGCAGGGACCTTACGTGAGCCTGCCATGCGGTCAGAAGGAAGTAGGGAACTCCAGTCCATGTGCCGACGGCAGCTTAATATGTCAAATATTTCAGTCGCTGCCTGTGGTGTTCAGAGGATTGCTTTTTTTTTTTTCTTAAGGGACGACATTGAAAGATTTCACTTTCATACTTTGGCTATAGCATATCTTTCCAGTATAACTTCAACTATTTCTCTCAGTTTGGCCTGTATGCCCCTACACTGTTCTCAACAACCCCACCTGTGTTCTCCAACCTTGTTTCTCATGCTTTACACCATTCACTGTGATGGAGTTTGAGTCCCTGGAGACAGCACAGCCCTGAAATACACAGGCTTATGTTATGGAATATTTAACTAGGCAAAGACATGTTATATTTGTTTATGCTGTGGCATATTACTTTAACTGTATAAAGGTGTGTTACATTTGTTTCTGCTGCATTTGTTCAATGATGTAATGATGTGTTACATTTGTTTATGCTCTGGATTGTTACTTTAATTGTGTAAAGGTGTGTTACATTTGTTTACTATGCATTTGTTTAACCATGTACAGATGGGTTGCTGTTTCACCTTGGCTGCCTAAGGCACCTGATTGGTATAATAAAAAGCTGAATGGCCAATAGCTAGGCAGGAGAGGAATAAGCAGGGTTGCCAGAGAGAATAAGTAGGAGGAAAAATCTAGGAAGAGAGGAGAAGACGAAGAAGTAGGAGAGAATGAGGGAGAAAGAGAAGGAGATGACCAGGGCCAGCCCGGCAGCCTCCAGCCAGCTAGACGGAGTAGGACATACAGAAAGAAAACGTAAAATGCCCCTAGGCAAAATGTAGATGAAGAGAACCAGGTTAACCTAAGTTAAAAAAAAAAACTAGCCAGAAATGAGCATTCATAACTAATAATAAGTTTCCCTTTCATGATTTGGGAGCTGGTTGGTGGCCCAAAAGAAAAAGCTTGATACAGGCTTATGACATGGTCAATGGCTCTTAGTAAACTCTTGGTTAAAACAAACAACAACAACAGCAACAACAACAACAGGCCAAAATTCCTTTAAGAGGGGGATAGTGGGGAGATGATTCAGTCAGGAAGAGAGTAGTTGCTATATGAAAGCCAGTGGAACTGAGCTCCAATCCCCAGTACCCATGTAAAAGCTTGGCCCTGCATGCCTGTAACCCCAGCACTGGGGGAACAGAGCACAGAGTGTT